ATTTTCATGTTTTTGGCTATAATCCCTCAAACGGTAACAAAAGACCCGAGATCGAACTTCACACAGTAAGGAATACTCCACATATGGAAAACGTGTAACTTTCAGGTTTACCAAACATTTGAATGAACATTTAACTATTGATGAAATGAATAACACATTTATGCACTCTTGATTCCTGTGTGAATACAGCATAATTACATATTATATTTAGTGACTGGGAACAGGTCGATGGATTCCCAACCACCATCTCTAAAAGATGCAGTGATAACTAATGATGGTTAGCAAGCGAGATCAACAAAATAACCAAGGATTCTATTAGATTTTAAAAACAGAGTACGTATTTAGAGAATAGGCATGAACACAAGCAAGGATTCATCTTCCTAGCAGAAAAAGATACGGTTTCTGTTCGCTCTGTGACTACTTCATGAGGTTTTGTACAATAATTGGAATCCGCAACGTGAAACTATTTTTCACCCATTGAAATAAATACCTGTACTCATTTGTGATTGAATTAACAAGTTATTTCCGCGCTAGTCGCAAGGTTGGGAATATTTTCATGACCTGGTGATGCAAGGGAACTGCAGTCAGAGAGATTGAAATGTCTGGTCACTATTGACAAAGAGTTATTGAGGAAGCAATCAGCAGGCGTAGTTGACTTATCACCAAATATAGATAGTTCTGAGAGTGTGTATGACACAAATGTTCGAAATTTAGATTGAGTTTCCTTTTACGTTTCGGGCTACATTCAACAGCAATACAATCAATTTAGTTACGTAAGAATCTGAAGACAAATCACTGGATGTAGACTAGTGAGAATCGATATTTTGCAAAACCAACGCCACATTTCTTACTACAGCTACACCGATCTTGTCACACAGACCTGAAATCATTTAGACAGACAATAATATCATCATATAGGTCACGAAAACAAGTTTCTTGAAGAGTCTTTGTCTACATATTGCGATATACGGGAGTAAATCTCACTAATCTGGGAGCACCAGCTGCTACTCAATCTGAGGATCAGTCGTTTGGTGATTGGAATACGCTTTGAAGCACGTCGCCATCCACCATGATGCTGCTCCTTATGTTTAGAGGAAACGTGCTAATCAAAAGTATTGCGACAACAAACAATGCGACTAGAAGTTATATTTTAACAGGTTAAAAGAAGGATAAACAAGGCAAATGAGGTACAACATAGTGATGGAATATTTTGTTAACCCAAGGTTTAAGCAGGCCACTTGAAATGCTGGCTTCGGCATGTGTTACAAATGTCATTCCAGTAGACTTCAAATCGTTAATTATTTGCTGTTTGAGAAATAAGCATTTGCACTAAGAAATGATATCCATCGCCACACCGTCTTCTCCTTGAATTGGTTACAAGACATCATTCAACTTAGTCCATCAAGTTGCTATTAGATATTAGGTTCAGATGTGTGATCACTTCTCACTATTGTCCTGATGATAACGCGTATCACTGACCACACACTTACACTATATTATTAACTGTAACTGCTTGTTTTGAATCAGTTTACCGTCAAATATTTCATATCTCCATTCGCTGCATACGGTCTAGTGTGAAATATCGATACACATATATATAGGAATATAGGCGCGTAAATAATGATGTAAACAAAAACCGATCTATTTGTTTCTTGTTGTTACACTACCGTCTGCAGAATCATTTCCTGACGGCTGACGGCATTCACGTGACACAGGACTGGTTGGAGAAGCAACCTAAAAAATTCAACAAGAAAAACAAAATGCTTATTTAAGTAGTTCAGAACTAATTTTTGCGACAACCAGCTTGTGATTTCTTCCTCTCAATGTACAATTCAATAAAAATCACATAATACTCTACTTCCCTAATCAATGTTATTCAGATGAAGTCAATTACAAAACAATCAGCCAACATATGCTGCCAAAACATCAATTATATTGTCATGTAAAGCAGTACAATTTAAACAGATACTGAAGATGCCATAATTGTATAGCAAGACAGGAACTGGATTAACGAAGTATACTTTTACAGGTTTTGCAGTACTGCTTTCATTAAAACTGTTCACACCGTCGCACGGACCACATAATGTTGAAAAGCATGTCCCCATATACACTACCAGGATAATTTAATGATGAACCAAGTAAATCTAACTCCTGCCTACAACTCCAATCAATAGAAGTATCCAGAATGAATGACAAATCCGATAAAATAACACAAAACCTAACGATAAAATTAACTTTAAACAGGCAATTCGACGTAGAGAAGATAAGAGAAACTGTCAATTACCTCAATATGCTATTGCGATTCGCCATCGCCTTGATTTGCACAGTCACTTTCCTACATATAACAAACAATATGATAACACACAGATGAAGAATTTAATCGGTAACTCTTAGCCTGACTTAATCAATAATGAAAGTAATTCTGCAATAAAGGGAAAAACCGAAGCCTCACACTAATTAGTGAGAAATGACTGATTGTCCAAGAGCCTTATCTACAATCTTTCACTGACTACTGATTTACCGTTAAATTGTCAAAAATAAAATTACCTGGGTTACATTTTTCTGAGTAAAGGGTAAGCAATTTACTACAGAAAAGTCATCATTAACTCGAAGAAGAATCGCGTGAATAATTCTACAGAACATGAGCAGTCCAATTACCATGTCAGTCTAAATTAGTTTAGTTACCTCTTACATTGAATAACCAGCTTCTAATATCAGAATCAGTAGTCTCATCAGGCTATCACAAATTTATACGGATATTCAGGTGACGAGATTACAGTGAATTTATGTCTAACCATAGATAGATTTTCATCAACACACTTAGGATCAGGTGGCTATATTAGTTACCACTCAACGATCATTTAAGACTTGTGGTAATTGATATGTAGTCAAACAAAGACAAATCACATGTTACATGATTACGGTGAGATGGAGATCAAAGTCAGTCTCGCTTACAGTCTCTCACGCATACACCACTGGTCATACATATATATACATATACCATTGTCTTCTTTGGTACTCTTGCTTCTTATACGGATACCGTTAAATATACTTTCCATCTCACATCACTGTGTACTCGTTTAAGTACAGTGGACTGACGGATAAGGGTGTTAGCGTAGTCAAGCTGTATTCGCGATCAGTGCGTCTAAGTCCGGCATCGGAGTTCCTACTCTTTCAATTCTAGTGCTATTGCGCAATACAGTCGCTACATTCATGACAGCAATATAACGAAAAATATCAATTAGCAAATTTCTTCATTACCTCAGGAGTAGGACGTTCAAGTTGTTTGACATCTGGAACAGTGCACTGCTTGCTGCCGCTTGATTCATCTTCCCTAAGGACAACTGAGGCAGAATGAGAAGGACTAGCGTCTTCTGAACTCGGCGTCTGATGTACTATTGTTCCAGGTGACGTTTTGAGATATGAGGTGATATCAGGAAGACTTGGGAAGCCTGGAATGTTTTCAGCCATGATTGACCAGGGAAGTTGAAGCTGTCAAATATCCGAAATAGAATTCTGTCAAAAATCTACTTAATTAACGAAATGACGAGTGAAATCAATCGAAACCAGTCGATCACGAAAGCTGACCGACAATCAGCAAAGTGTATTCGTAAAAATAAGTCTCACTATTGAACCGTATCAATTCCAGGGTGAAAATTATGTTGAACTAATTAGAGACCACTCATGTCATCACGAAAAGTGGTGATCATTGTGTTCCACATTTTGCTTGCTCTCTTGGTGGTTATTTAGTGTTAAAAAGACCACTTACTATGGTCTGAATATTTCAAGTTCCCAAAGGAAGTCGTAGACAATTTTTACTCCTAACAATAATGAACTCCACAGGAAACATTTACACTCAATGCAAAACGAGGAAACGATAAACAACATTCTAGTAATTTTGAAATGATCGGTTTGTGAAGAGAATGGTGTTTTCGAAAATCTTATGCCTAGTTAGTTGTCAATGCGTGTTATATATTGGGACTCTAAATCTGCACTTCTTAAGTTGGAAAATTTGGTGCATTTGAGATTTACTGATTCATAGTGTCAACATGAATTTACAGTAAAACAATTGAAGGGCCATTACTATAGTTCAAGAACAAACCATGTGAAAATTTAAATGAATATCAATTGAGAACATAATACAATGCACAAAAACAAAGCTTTAGACAGTATTGGATAGGCATATGAAACTATCCTGACGAAGCCTAATCTATTACTTCCCTATACTTTTCGCATTCGCAACATTTTTACAATGAATAACAATTTAGTAATTTGTCTTTGTTGAATTACGGATAAATTCGCAACTTACTTCACTAATCACATCATGGTACATTTCCCCAGCCATTCGATGAACTTCATGGTTTCGGCTGTTGTATATTCTTGCATTCACAAACATCAACAAAAGATCTCGTATGAAACGTGTTGCAACATCTATAATAACTTGACTACACGAAACAGGTGAATTTGAAGCTGTACACGGTTGAGCACCAATCAAACAACTGAGTGATAACTCCATGCGGCGCCGAATAGAAGTTAAGTCCACTGGTTCATAAACAACCGTACTATATCCTGGAGCGATATCTTCAGTTACAGGATGCATGAACACATAAGCATGACGATGACTGCATACTGTGGAGAGTGCTGATAATAGAGATCGGCGCCACCGACGGACAATAGTATGTGTCGACTGGATTGTATCTGTACATTCTTCGTTAGCCAAGTTAGTTGATACTGCTGGACTGAGAGCTACATGATTTGTAGTAAGGAAGTGAATGTTCATGGTAAACAATGGGGAAAATAAGAGGCTAGCAAAAACGAATAATAATAAAAACCCATAATCTTCCCAAGTTATTGTGAGTAAAACGAAGAGCGAGTACGTTATTTTGCTATACACTACTACTGTAAGATACACCTAACATATATGCTTACGCCAATGAGCCAAATCTCCACAAATGAAGAGGTGAATGCCACATTTCGTCTTTAGATGGTTGTGAACTGGTGCTAACGTGCACAATAGTTTTAAGGTTACACCCACAACAAACTACGTAAAACATGTATTTCCACAGATTTCTGTATGTGGAGACTTCAAGGAGACAATATTGATCATGTAGAGGCCTTAACTCTCTCCTGGTGAATTGTTACTGGAAGAAAATATTTAAGATTTTAACACTAAGTGGACAAAATATAGTCGTCCCACTTTCATATCTATCCTAATTCCCTTAGTACTTTTTGATTTTCTTTTCAATATGTGATTTCACAGTTGACAAATGAAACTCATGCATTTGTGTGTTCACTTATTTATAAAAACGACTAGATCACCAAACCACGATTCACATTTCAGTTAGAAGTTCTGGGTGAGTAAACGTAAAAAGATAAAACTATCGATAGAACCAATGACTTTCAAACACAAAAACGAAGCTCGAGCACAGTTAAACAGAATTTCTTCAAGGTATGAAACATTCCCATACCATGTGTTTAAAAATACACGAGTCAGCAAAGAGACCTCTTCTCGTAACTCCACTTCAAAGCTATACAGTTATTTACGAGGTTCATACATGCAATGTTAATTGACAGCAGAGATCAGAGGTTATTGTCAGTTGGTGACAAAGTAAATCAGTGTATGAGTAATAACAATGCATGAAGAAATTGAGAATAGTCTCGCGTAGTCAAGAGGGTTGACAACTAATTACTTAAATGATGAATAACCGTTTGGAGACAATTGGTAAGAAACAGGAGAACAAAGGATTGAAAATGGGTTGCAAAACATAAAAGTAATAGAAGTACTACATAGAGTTTATTACACAGCTACTCAGGAAAACGAAAACAAAAGTTTGCACTGGGGGCACGTAATAAGAGAGGTTGCATAAAACCTTTCTGAACACAGAGTTCACGCTCTTGTTAACCGAAATATCAAAGACAAGATCCCACTGTTGGCAACTTCAATACGCATTTACCGATTCACTTGCTACTGTGGAGCTAAGCAGACAGGTCATACCAGCAGGACATTGTCCAAAGGCGCTCATGAACATTACCAGCATGGCTGCCAAGAGGACAACGCAGAATAGTCTGCAGCTCAATTCCCAAGCACATTATAACTTTTGGTCACACAGCATCAGCAAAGACTTCTTTCAGTCATATATATATATATATATATATATATATATACTACCTCAGAGTCATTCAAAAGGATTTCGTCTACATCTTCATGCAGACGAAGCGTTAGCAATCCATAAGGAGAAACCTAAACGGTGTTTAGAAAGGCCTCATCCAGCCGCTTTTACTACTGAGGAGTTTCGAAAAGAGATCTCTTTGCTGACTTGTGTATTCTTAAACACATGATACAGGAACTTTTCATACCTTGAAAGTCGTCCATTAGAAAAAGTATCAGCTTCCAACATGGTCAATGTGTCCTCCCGAAAAGTCACAGATTTGGGTACTGTTGCAGTGAGTAATTAACCAGCTCCTGTCTACTTATCAGAGTTAAATGCTGGATGAAAAAGTAAAAATTTTCGCTGAATAAATCAGCACTTAACGAAGACAATGCATAGATGCTGATGATAGATGTCATTTATGACAAATACAAATAAAGTTGTCAGCACAAAATGAAAAGTGCTGTCTTATTTAGGAAAGCTCTTCAGTTAAAACTGATTATACTCTATGAAATCCGAAATGCAAGAGGAAATAAGCTTTATAACCGAAAATAAGATAAGACAATACCTGAAGTGAATTCTGGTTCTTGATTTTGATACGCCATTGGAGCAGTAGTAGTAGAAGCACTTGGAGGTAGGTCTTTCCGTTTTGCTGAACGCTTTCGGTTACGATTGGCACTTCTCGAATATGGGGACTGTACTTCGATGTTGCTTAGTGAAGGACTTGAATTAAGACTTTGAGTAAAATGTGGAGAAGCCAGTGTCTCGGAATCACTTACTATTGTCGGACTATTAGGTGTGATTGGTTCAGCGTGGACCTCTAAACACTTGGAGGGACCTCCTTGTAATTCAGTTTCACTAGAACCATGGTCGAAATGTGTGAGAGGTTCACACGGTCGTGGTGGATCTTCGGTTCTGACTTCTTGACTATGAATACTTGCAGCCTAAGGTGGAAGATATGGAAAGGAAAGTGGAGCAATAGAAAGTATCATTGGGAACATCAGCTAATTACCACAGCAGCAAAATCGTCTACTAAAAGTTCTATGCACAAATATTCCACTTACCACAAAGGCTTACGAGCTCAAACCTTGGACTTCTGAAATAAACAATTCCTAGCACTTGAATGCTTGCACTCACTGAATAGTCACTGATCACTTATAGTGGTTTCACAAAATCAATTTGCAGAAAATCTAGGCTCAGGAGCTGAGAATACCTTCCAAGAAACCTTTAGTTTTTCAATGTGTTTCCCGATAAACTTATCACCTGTAAACCAAATAACAGGAGTAGAATTTTTTACTCTTGATAAGCAGTGAAATTAGTGGAGAATGTTATGTGGTACAGGGTCAGGTTAAACTGTCTTAGTGGATGTACTACCAAAAAAGCATCATCACATGTTTATAAAGAAACAAAAACAAAATAAACATACTTCTGAATGAGTTTGAACCGATGATGTTGTATCCAGACTTGATATCTCCTCATTCCGTCCTTCAAAACCAAGTCGTTGGGAAATGACACCTGGAAAGATTGAAAGTTATTTCATTTTCAAACAATTCACTAACTTTGTTCACGAAAACATTAAGACATCATTATTTTGAACATAAGTCATGTGAATTAGTGACTGAATTATCATTGCAGAATTTCATGCCAATTGAGTCTGAGCTTCATAGGGGAAATCATTATATTTATGGTTGCAGATACGCCTTGCTGATAAGTGCTAATAATAACACTTAGGCTTTTGTGCAAGGCTGTTCAGAAAACTACATTTTTTCACCATTTTTACCTAAATGAACTATATCATCCACGTATTCTTGAGCAACGAGACTTCTTTCATGTGGCAAATCAATCCTTTTAACATCGAGGTTGACCATGGACACATTCATTAGTAGTACCTACATAATGAAACTGAAAGAAAATAGTAGCAATGGCCATCCCATAAGAATACCACTGCCGGTCTTCACTTCAGATAACAGCTTTCCATAAGCCCTTACACGACTGTATGACTTTGAGTAAAGCCTTGATTAGTACAACATACTCTCAGTAATCCCTTCACGGTAATATTTCGCCACACCATCTCTCGATCGACGCAGTTAACACCACCTCCACACCAGGAAAGATGCTAAACATTTGACACCGATAATTTTGTTTATGCTACACAACCTCCCGAACGTTAAATATATAATGAACATACCTTCATCTTAGTTTAAAGTCTACCAGGTTTTCTTGAGTTTGTTTTTCCTGAGACCTACTTAGTTTTCGTGGAATCATGGAATCTACAATCTCAGTAGAGTTGACTGCCCTGAGATCATCACAGGAACAGCTGTGCTTTTTCTCATCAACTAGGATGATCAAAATAGAAATAGATAATGCACTTATTGATCTAGTTGGTAATTTATCATTGACACCCTTGAGACAGATGGAGTGATACCACTATGTCCTGCAGTTTCACCACGTATCAGGTTAGAGAGACTGCCACTTCAGCTAAATTTGGAGGGCCCACACATTTCATCCAAGCTGAAACATGGTAGCTAAAGATCAGATACGCTGCTACAGCAAGCATACTGCTGGTCTATTCTTAGATTATCAAATTTTTATCCTGATGCTTTTTAGAAACCGTCCCCCTATTCAGCCTAATCAATTCATGAGCATTACGCACCACTACGCTTTTCCTACTTCTCACCACACAGTCGTTGTCAAGACTTTTTGTCATCTTGCGTGTGAATTAGTATGACAAAAGTATGGTTGAAAAACAACTTTGAAGGTTCCAATCATAAAACCCAGCTTTCTCGTACAATTTTATTATTTTAATGCTATAACTTCCATAAGATAAATTAGATTATGTGCAGCTCTATCATAGGTGCGTACTACTGAGTTTTGTTACCACCCGAAAAGCCCTCTCTTCCATGTTATTCCTGATTAGCAGGTCAAAAAAAACATGTAGAACCCCGATTGCCCTATTCGACGGATGACTACACAAATCTGAGTCTTGCACGATCTCGACTTTCAGTCCAGAAAATCACACGAAGAAACAACAATACATTATAAGTCGTACATATATCAATCAATGTCCAGTGTAAGAGGGGATATCTTATTCTAAACTCTCCAAAAATCCAAAAACTGTGATGCATAGGGGTAGGAGCAACGGCTAGGCATATCTTTTACTACCAAATCCGTCATATGAGAAAATTCCAGTAATAAATTATCTGCGAAGAACACGCCATTTAAACACTGTTTCATTTCCGTGCTATCGAAGATGTTATGTAGTTTGTATTTAATTCTGGTTCACATGAACTAGACCTCAAGGCTCGAATTATGAATATGCGTATGAACAAAATTGAATTTGATGGTCAGACTTACTTTGTTCTCGCATAAATTTCGCAATGTGATCATGGTGGTCATCTAATGGGTTTTCCTCAAACAAGTGGGAAATACGCGTCGACCTTACAGGAAGCCAAATACCACCATCTTTGTCCACCAATTCTTTTGCAATTTCTGTTTTTGGACGTTTAGGTGACGTAGGAAACACCTCGGATACCTTATTGTCCTTCTCAGGAGCAGGAGAAAGAGGTTCCAGATTCAGGCATTGACCTATTTTATCAGGTATCCCGGACTCACGACATCTCTTTCTATAACTGCGACAATATAGAGTATAGCATCACATACATCATGAGTCGGTCCGAGGGAATTTCGGAGTACCCGGCCTGTCGCAACTTCTCCGCATCTTCTTCTGCAATCCTACAAGTAAACAGTGAAGTGACCTTCTTACTTTAAAGTTCTTAAAATTTCTAACCTAACAGCATGTAGCTGCTCACGCCGCAATGTGGTATAGTGATCAAGCGAAATAGTCAGCAGCTGATTCTCGGTGAGGTCACCAGGGTTTCTGCAAAAACCTGTTAAATGATAGATGTAACTACTTTTGACGGGTGGAGGCTATGATGTAGTTGTATTGTAGTGAACAACTCTAACACTAAATAACGCCCAAAAGTTGTGTCTGATTACCTGTTTCGAGAGGCCCTGTAGATTTTCCTTCTTCAGAAACGTTTTAGAAAGAGCTTTCAAGGAGCTGCAAACAATATCCCAGTCTTTTCCGTGTGTTTGAACAGCTCGTAGTAAATAATAATTAGCTCCGACTGCCCAATCCATTGATAGTACCCAAAACAGCCTTTACCATAAACGACCCTGAGGTTTGAGAATTTGGTGCTCGAACCAACTTACTGCTAAGAAGCTGATAAAAACAAAATGCATTTACATGCAACGGATTCGTAGTTATGATGAATAGTTCCTAAATGAAATGCAGGTGAGTTAACCCATAGATACCAACAGATAGGAGGAACTCATTTATTTAGCCATGAAACTGAATGAAAGGTGTCTATCCCATACAGTGCTATATTCACTTATTCAGATTCATGACCACTGTTTCGAACACCGTTTGTCAGTGGCAATGTCACGTCTATGTATATGCAGACTACCTTTAAGATTTCTTTTAGATATCATATACAAGGAGAAGGGGGCGTTCTTCCATGGTAAGTAGGTACCGTGGAAAATTCACTGAAAGATTCTAAACCCATCCAAAGATGATTTCCATGTGACCAAGGAGTAGAATAACCATAAAATTTTACAGGAGTCTAAAAGGCTCCACAGTACATCCGCTTTGACTTAGGAGACCAATGTGTCATTCGCATTTAAAAACAGTATATTTTGTATACCTCTGAAATGTTTAATGCAATAGGTGCGTGGCACTGAGGTCCTTTACGGACCTCAATATCCACAGTGCAGACGCATGCTATTATTCTAAAATCAGGACGCAGATTGCTGAAATGTGGGAATCCCAAATCATTGCATGTTGAAGAGCCTTGATCGGTGGCTCCCCAGCTAGATAGGCTGGTATGTACCACACTGTTCAAGACAATAGCGTTTCACCAATAGGACAAATATACTAACAAGATATCGTGAAAATGGGAAAATATGCGCTTAAATTTTGAACTTACTGCCCTCTTTATCGACTATATTGCGCACATGTCAGTATCAAGTGGCATTTTCTAACACACGTCCGGAGAAACTTACGCAATTCAAGTGCGTTGGGCCGCCAACATTATACACGCCATGAAGTTCTTAATGCAAGATTTCATTTAAAAACCACTTAAAAGGTAATTTGTCAGTGAGTCAATGTAACAACGGACTACGACGCTACGACTAACTGGGGTTTGCTACAGAGCCACTCATTAAACTAATACTTTCCAAACCTGAGCAAGGTTTGAGTCGAACGTCATTTTCCCAGTTTTCCCTCAGAGCTATCGATCCCTACCTAGGAAAACAATCGTGATCTTATTTACCTTGAGAATTCTTTGAATGGGATCGATGCTAAAATTATCTCCATTTCTTCTTCTATACTTCGTTGTGATACTATTCACGAAGATACTTCTGAAACCCTACCGAATTCGATCCGTGTGTGACGCCTCATGCCATCTTTCTTTCTAGTAAACGGATCATGTCCTCCTGTAACACACACAATATCTCCAACCTCGTTCCACGAAACCGACTAGACCTCTTATGTCTTCAAGCATGTGGTATTCCTTCTGTTGATTGTCAGCTAAGCAGGATTCAAAAACACCCTGTATATACATGTGTCTCGTGCGATTCAACAAAGGAGTTTTGGCGATATGATGAAGTTTCAAAACTTGTAGTACTTTTGAGGCCGAAAGTATCGACGTTCGCGAACTGTACGGAGTATACTAACGCAAGATCTTATACCAACAACTTCTATAGTGTTCGCTCTTCGAGTACCAAAGATAAAGCAAAAGACCAGATTTAGTTGTCCAAAGTACGTAATATATTTCGGGACCAAATCGCGGGTTGAAGTGAATGCTTAGCTAGCTAGTAATCGTGCACGCACGTGACACGACGGAGTACCAAATGGCGGGGATGCTTGACTGGAAGCCTTCAGCTAAACAAGTCGACTTAAACAGTGAGGGTCAGCATCCAATGTTGAGTGATGATTGCTGTGGTCAATAATTTTGGGGAATTATTTACCGCTACAGTACCATGGGAGTTGCGCGTTGGCTAACGCCTTGTTGATGAATTAGCCATACATCATCATCCACCATCCAAAAGCATGCCTAGCTTCAGGACCTCCCATAAAATTTTGCAGTCACTTGACTGCTGGTGAACAGTTGCGAGCAGATTTACATGAGATTGAGGTACATAAACCCCGTTTGAATAAAGTGAGCGGAGAAGCAGCTTCAGTAATTTACTTAGATGTGTTACTTGCAAAAGCACTACTACAGCAACCTGTCAACCTAGACCAAAACCGTTAAACTGCTAAATATATTTGTGTAGCGAACCAGTCAAAGTGCGTGAGTGACTTCGAACTCGTTCCCGATCGGCTTCAAATAGAAATAATGTTCACAACTGTTGTGTGGCCACATATCCTGCTATGCCTGGACTTTGGCCACACCGCCAGCTGACCCTTTAGTCTCGCTCACCTAACCTAGTTCTCAGGCTGCTCTTAACACTGCCCCAACTAGACAGGGGAAAACATCACCCTCAAGGCTTTTCGGGGATGCATTTGCTAGCAATTGTGTGGGGGAAGTACAGAGATATACAGTCACACCATGCGCTCTTGTTCCTTGAAAACCCAATTGTTTGCACTCCGATCCAGTCAGAACAGACAAGCGAGTTGACCAGTGGAAGCGAAATGGCTGGGATTCAGATGCTTGGACGAAATTCTTTGTTCCCCCATACTGGAGAGGCTGATCTTAATTCTGTTCCAGCCAGTAAAATATCTTTATCCCTGACACACAGAATGTCCCCATATCGACCTTACTCTTCCATAGAAATTTTCAGCCATTCTGGCGCTTAAAAGTTGACTTTTGGAAGCACGGTAGTAGGCAGCTGTATCGGGTAAACCTAGCAAAACTCATGGAAAGATATTCATCATCCAATATCCTTCGGTATATAAAGAAGGCCTTACCAATCGTAAATAAGATATAGTTCCTACTTGGTTACTCATTCCCCCGAATACCTGGATCACTCACTACATCTGAGTGACCATAGAGTCCTGTGTTTTAGAGACTCTACAACTGCACTTCTTGTGCAACTCATCCCTTGTAATAATTGCTGAAGCATGGTGACTACTGCCTATTTAAGAGTGACAGATATCATGACATATGTGGAGAACGTGTCATTCACATCCCGTCTGTTAATAATGGCTACATAATGTTTTTAATCGGAATTCGTCAAAGTAAACAACTCAGTAGAGACTGCCGTGAGAAGCTCTCATTCCACCTCCTATCTCACGGGTTACATTTGTCTATTGAAAGCGATATGAAGTTGGCAGAATTGTTCTCCTATGCTGCCTTATTGGTTTAAAAAGCCAGAATAGTGTGCGGAATTCAACATTCGTGAAGTAATTTTGCACGGATTATGCTTACGAAAACGTTATGAAAAATTTAGTAATACCCTAAGGGGAAAAGACTAATAATAACACACAAAATGTCCTACTGTGTAATCGAATGTCTTCGCCAGATGTCAGTGGTAGTGGACATTGAGTGGACGTTAAATGGACTCGAAACCCAGCCTTAGCCACCACCAGCCGTACGTCGAGGGACGCAGTAATTTTTTAGGAGTCTTGATTCATTGGTAAGACCCATGCCGCTCAGTACTACTTCATCACGCAGCAACCTTTCCTGTCTTCTCTTTTCTAAGGTACTGCATTGAAGCACTGTGTATGTAGAGTAATGCTGCTTTCTATGTTTGTATTACTTGTACGGAGTTTTGAAGTCACTAGAACCTACATTCGGCAGATATTCAGATTATGATAAATATGATAAATAACGGAACAACATCCATCATGAAATCTTGTCGTATTGGCAAAGTTGGTCCATAAATCTGCTAATTTCAAAATAATGGTGTACTCACCGGCTACTGTAGAATCTTATAAATTTTTGAACCCTTTATAACTGAACTACTGATAACCATTTTAAGTTCTGCATTCTATGTGTCTTGGTCTAGCACCTCTGTATCATATTCCGTCTTACCCTCCAGTTACACCTTTTGTAATTCCCGCGTGAAATTGACAGACTATAGGTATAATAAAGATTAAAAATTAGACTTAAACCAATATCTTATAACTCATTCGATCAAAACTAAACATTAGAAGTCGCTTATATAGTTTTTCGAATATTTTCCTTTTCACACCATTTATTTCATAAAACAGTGTTTAATTCTTAAGTTGTACTTTTCAAATATGATCCTGTCTGTACAGATGGTGTGCCAACCATGTTAATGCTTATATTATGTGGACAAGAATATTATTATATTATTGTATGAACACCCAGTCCGGCCCTCTTTTCACCCACAAACCTTGCCGATGCTGACGCGCATACAGAATTAGGTCATAATGATATTTTAAGCCAGTTTGTAATTTACTGTGACTTACGATATTACTAATCAATGCGTATTCTGTAATCAATAAGGTATCTGAACTGAGAACGTTATTATTAGCCACCAGGCCGACTGTAGAAAAACGATAACTTTATCATAATGCACGCCTATACTTGATATGTCTTTAGGTCATAGACGGTTGCACCCTACATTTTGCAAATACAGATTATAAGTGTGGTGGAGGGTGCCTAGTTAACACATATAACTCATTTGCAGTCGGTAAGGTGGAAGGTGGTACACTGAATGCGTTAACTGATTCACTCTGAGTCATCTTACGTGGAAATGAATACAGGCTTCTCGTAGGTTGTGTCTATCAAGCACCATGCCCAACCTACGAAACTGATAAATTGGCAGGCAAATTCTTTTCATATTACTCCTCGTTTAGTACTGAAACCAAATAATTGTAGGGGACTTTAATCTTTAGGAAGTCAACTGGTTAATAGCTTCGGCCCCCAACGATTCGACGAAACGATACGTCAAGGCACCCAACAGATGGGTCCGGAGGCAAATGTCCGCAATTATAGATCTTCAAATATAGCATCAGTTATCTAAGGAATCATTGAGAAATTTGTTCAAGACCAACCATCGGATTATGTGCTTGAGGAAGATCCTGGTACAAAATCTCAAAATGGACTTCTCGAAAATAGGTCCTGCATTACTTTTTACTCCGACTTTCTCAACTGTATCACTAGTAGTCGCGAAGCACGCATGCCAGTTGTTTTTCTATATTTAGATATATCACAAACATTTGACACAGTATTGCATGGTATTCTCTTTGAGAAG